GAGCTACGAGTTTTGGAGAGCTACAAGCTGCGGTGGGCGAGTGGTCAGCTGAGGCAAGTGGCAGCAAGCTACTCACGCATGGATTCGTGCACAGGGCCACTAGTATTATTAATAAGAACACGTAACATCCTTGATAACACTGTCAATAGAAGAGGTTAATTAATGTTCAAAGCTTAGTATAGGAACTGGGGATAAAGACTATCAAATCTGCATAGTCAACTCTTAATTATGTGTGCTAAATAAAGGGGAATTATTATTATTTTTTAATCTTTATTGTTCAGATTATTACAGATGTTCCTCTCCCCCCGCCCCACCCCAAGGGGAATTATTGTAATTAATTCAGATATGTGTGTAACTTAATTTTTATAAAGAGTCAAATGGTAAATATTCCTGTGGGTATTTACAGAGTTCAGTTATTCTTAAAATTTGATCTTCCACTGAAGTTATATTCACAAACTTTTACAAAATTTAACATAATTTATAAAATGAAATTCTAGCCTTTAAAATATCCCAAATTAGTAATTTTCAGTCTACCAATAATTCTATAGTCTTTTAAAATAATTATCTAAAATAAGTTTCTATCAGTGACAGATGGTAACTAGACTTACACCTTGATCACACTGTAAGGTGCATAATCATCAAATCGCTAAGTTGAACACACCTGAAAATAACAATAGCATATGACAACATAGTTTAATAAATTTTTTAAAATAAAAAATGTTTCCAGTGGTGATAATTTTCAAAAATAACATTTAATTGAAGCACTTCTAAGTTAAAAATCTGTGAAGTTATTGATGTGAAATAATAAAACCTAAGAGCAAGAAAATTCAAAGTCTTTAATCAAAACGAAAATCTCAGAAACACTATCATTTCACCCTGTCATCAGGAATTACTGTAAGATTTTCAAAACTGTAATTGAAAAATATATTGTATTTCACAACAAAGCTTAAAACCAATTAATGGCAAAGCTATGCTTACATTATACATGGTTTAATGTTTCTATTTATGAATATTTATGTGGTATGGTATGGAATTTTTCTATATTAAAGGAAGTTTTGATATGAAACTTTGTAATTAATAATTGGTCACTCCCTGTTTTGTTTTGTTTTTTTATTCTAACTCAATGTCACCCAACCCATGCACCTGTGAACATGCGGGGGCACACAAATTTCTCCCCACCACATTCCCACTCATGTGGTTTTTGTATGCATTTATATCATGATCTGTAATATAAAGCAATGAGATGAATTTCAACAAACCATGTAAGAAATGGACCATTTTATTTCAGAATCTCTTTTTTCTGCTCTCCTTATGATTTTTTTTTTTTTAATCCTCACCCGAGGATATTTTTCCATTGCTTTTTAGAGAGAATAGAAGACAGAGGGAAAGACAGAGAGAAATATAGAAGTGAGGGAAACACATCGATTGGTTGCCTCCTCCATGAGCCCTGACCAGGGCCTGGGCCTGGGAGGAGCCTGCAACCAAGGTAAGTGCCCTTGACCAGAATCTAACCTGGGACCCTTTAGTCAGCAAGCCAAGGCTCTATCCACTGAGCCAAACGGGCCAGGGCCTTATGATTTTCTTCATGTCCACTAATATCCAAACATTGGCATTGCCTTCTAATCTTATGATTTCAACCTTTTTTAAAAATATATTTTATTGATTTTTTACAGAGAGAAAGGGAGAGGGATAGAAACATCATTGAGAGAGAAACATCGATCAGCTGCCTCCTGCACACTTCCTACTGGGGATGTGCCCGCAACCAAGGTACATGCCCTTGACCGGAATCGAACCCGGGACCCTTCAGTCCGCAGGCCGATGCTTTCGCCACTGAGCCAAACCAGCCAGGGCTCAACTTTTTAAAAATGTAAAATACTCCCAAGTCTGTCTTGACTTCTCCCACAACATCCAATCTAATTATTTCTAACCGGACATATCCCACAAGCCCCTTAAACACATGTCTCAAAGTTATTCTTCCTTCTGTGCTTATTTATTTTAGGGTACCTCAAACATTGTGGTCACCCAACTTGAAGGTTTGGCTCATCTTTTTTCTTTGGTCTCCTTACCACCACAACTCATTCCCACACCCAATCCAATCTTTTACCAAAGTTTATCGAATCTACTGCCTTGCCCTGGAAATTCAGCTTCCTAATCCCATGAGGCCATTTCACTTCCTCATTAATCCATCCTACCCTGTGGTTATTTTCAGAACCCTCTGGTAAATGGTCTATGGGCAATGGGCAGAGAGAGGATTTTATGGTTTGTTTGCTTTTTGTACAAAGGAGCAACTTCAGTTATGAACTGAAAATGGATATTACCATTACACAATAACATGTATGCCATTATAACGCCTGAGTAAACATTTTCTCTGGCTGAAAAAGCAGCTCTACATTTTTTATGAAGTTTCATCCTGGAGACATACGGATATGCTCAATTCCAGATCTTACCATTCATTTTACTTTTCTGATGCTCTGATTCCTTATATTTGAAATGAGAATAATAAGCTACCTCATAAGTTTAGGACTTAATAAGGTATATGTGTACCTGACTTTATATATGCTCTAGATATTTGTTGAATGAATGTACCCGTACTTGGAACACCTCCTCTCCCACATCTTCAGTCAGCTAATTTATACTTGTCTTTTAAAACTCGATTGCAGCCACCTGAGTTTCCCAACAATGATTTCTGTGTCCCACTTCCGTGTTTCTATAGCTCCAGTGCATATTTATCACACACTGTAATTACTAATGTCCTTGTCAGTCTCCCAAGTCATACCTTGGTGAATTCCCTAGGATATGGATCGTGTTTCAATTGACTTTGTATCTGCAGCAATTACTGTGGTTCCTGGCAAATAGCATCCACTATTTCAATAAATGTTGAATGATTACTCTGTACACAATTAACCAAATGCCTGTACCATAAGCTTTACTAATTTTATTCTAAGATAAAGCAAAGTACAAACATCGAGGAAAAAGAAAAAGTTAACCACCAAATATCTACTGCAGGTATTTTAACAAAAATGTTCATTCTGGTGGGGTCATGTGTAAGTCAAGATGGTGAAAACGGGCATTATAAACACAGCCTCTCTACATGGAGATAACAGTTTAGCACTTAAGCTGTGCCAGTTAGTTTCCTTATTAAGCGCTTTAGTTATTTGATTTAATCCACACAACCCCCTCTGGGGTAAGTTCTATTTCTATTATTAGCCCAATTTTATGAGATAAGGGAACGGAGGGCCGGAGAGATTCTGTCACTGAAAGATCACACAAGCAGTGCAGTGATGGGCGGTATCTGGGTTCCCACGCGGGCTTCCTAACTCCTGAGCCTCTACCCTTAACTACAATGTGCTGACTTCTTACTGGTGGAAGTAGCTGATTTTTCTTTTTTACTTTTTAATGCTTTTACTGATTTTTATTATTATTATTATTTAGAGAGGTAGGGAGAGGTGGGGGCGAGAAACATCGACGTGAGACACAGCTCCGCACGCACCCCGACCCAACCCAAACCGCAACGTGGGCAAGTGCCCTGACCCAGAATCGAACCAGCGCCCTTTCAGGAAGACGCTCAACCAACTAAGCCACACCAGCCCGGGCGGAAGTAGCTGATTTTTCAAAGATGCCTAATGTGGCGCCCTGACCCAACAGGGCTGGGGCTATGTCCTCCCCGAAAGAGTGTAAATAAAACATTCTGGATGACTAGGGGCACATCTCACCTTCACACCTAACGACGGAAGGTTCGACCTGCACATTGTCTCCTTCAATGTAAGGCTACGCACACCACGGATGCTGCCCAGTTTTCTTCCACATGCCTCCAATAAGCTACCCTTTCCGCCTGGTTAGTCACATCCTTTTTTAAAAATAAGCCTTGGATTTCTTTTAACACACACACACATGATTTTCCCCTTTATGGCCTAAAAACCTAAATGCTTAAGGACTAAGCCATCATTTCCAGTAAAGCCAGAAAAAAATAAAAATAGGTCATGTATAGAATTTTGAGACTAGGAGATCCAAATGAGGCAGTCGTAAGGCCACTCAGAAGCCCAGCTCTGCAGAACTGATACGTCCGGTACCGTCACAAGGGGGACACGCGGGTAAACTGAGACCCACGAACTGGCCCTAAAGTCCCCTTGACGGGGCGGCCGAATCGCTAATTTCGAGTTCTCCGGGGCTGCCTTGCAGACTGTCCACCGGAAATCTGTAAGGTGTCCAGAACATGGGCAAGAAACTGGAACATGGGAAATGGAGGCAGGGGCACAGGGCGCAAGGGTGACTCTTACACCAGAGCAACTAGGGACCTGGGGGCCCCCTGTCAATGATTCCCGGATCTGAAATTAACGCTAAGTAATAACAGCCCACCACAATTCTTTTTTCCGGTTGGAACACGGGGCCTTGACCTTATTTTATTAAAAAACAGATAGATACCTCAGTAACGTGTTTCAAGGATGGGCGTTTTGGTTCCTGGCATTTAAATATGCAGTCAAATCCACTCAGGAGGGGGAAATGCAATCAAGGGCCGACAGCGAGCACTGTGTGCAGTGAACATCAGCCGAATAGGATGGATGAAGTATTACTTAGAAGCCGTTTATTACCGTCGGCGTGTTGGGTGGTGACGGCCAAAGTGCGGATGTGATTAACAGAAGTCGCAGACCCCTGAGCCGCGGGAGCCGCACTCCACTCCACAGGTGGCTGTCAGACCACGAGTGACGGGACGCTGGCAAAATGGCGGCCGTGTCTCTATCCGCGCGAGAGCACGACCCCGCGAAGGAACGTACGTCACCAGGGCAACGACGCTCTTGCGTCAGCAAGACGCTCTTGGTCCGGGTGAAAGTTCAGGGCCGGCTTAGCGTCCCCCTCGCCGCTTTACCGCGTCTGGGTCCAAGGCAAGGCCAGATCGCGGGCGACTACCCCGACCCCGGGCCAAGAGAGCTTTGGCTCAAGTCGGGAGCGAACAAAGCGCGCTTACTGCCCCGCTCCACCTCG